GCCCACTGCATTCTAATTGGCTAGGCGATACACCAAATCGAACTCACAATGTAAACATTAATGTTTTTTAATGAAATGAAAGAAAATGGGATACATAATAGAAAATTTATTTATTTTCAAATGACGTATGCATATCATAAGCATGCATCATATGCATGGGGTTTGTTTACTGAGCAATAGTTCATTCCACGTTATTTTCCCCTATTTTCAGATGACGAAAGGTAGAAGATGTGAGGTGACCACTTGAGGCGAGACGGATTCAGTACTGTCCGAGTTAGATGTTCAAATTCTAATCTAATAAGATTTATTTGAACCATTTTGAAATTTAAATAAGTAAATCAATTTGGATGATGTTATTTTATTTACGCAATTATCTGGGATTTTAATAAGTTCGGCAAATTGTGATATGAATTGAGTTTAATTGATGCTATTCTATTTATCTATTTTACTATATTTAATTCTTAAATGAAAATAAATGCTAATACTCATTAGTTTAAACTTGTTTAGATTTAGTATGTTACATATGCGGAACAAAGTGCAACGCCATAGGACGGGAGCCACCTTTTGAACCCGTAGGAGCCACCTCTAGAATCCCAACACCTGGCAACGAATCCTAAGATGGATCAAGCGCGACGAGGACGTCCCGAGTCTAACGGGGGGTGATTGTAATACCCAGACCAAGAAAGTTTAAAAGATTTGATAAGTACTACTCATACCAATAAGGTGCACTTTCTTTTTCGAAAATCCATCGTTAGAAACTCTACAGTTAAGCGTGCTTGGTTGGAGCAATTCTATGATGGGTGACCCCCTAAGAAGTTTTCTTGGGGAGAGTGCGAGTGAGAATAAAACATGCTGAAAAGACCCATATTGGTACAATGAGGACAGTACGTCGTCGATCTAACGGTCGAGATAGCCCATTAAGTGGGATCCGGGTCGTTACAGTAGGAGATCCATTTCATGCTATATCGGCCTGCTCACTGGAGGTGATGTTTCCTGGGAGAGTGCCAAGCAAACACTCATTGCTACTTCCACCATGGCAGCGGAGTTTATAGTATGTTATGAGACATCAAACCATGGAATATGGCTACGAAAGTTTGTCACTAAGCTGCACATTATGGANAACCATTTTGAAATTTAAATAAGTAAATCAATTTGGATGATGTTATTTTATTTACGCAATTATCTGAGATTTTAATAAGTTCGGCAAATTATGATATGAATTGAGTTTAATCGATGTTATTCTATTTATCTATTTTACTGTATTTAATTCTTAAATGAAAATAAATGCTAATACTCATTAGTTTAAACTTGTTTAGATTTAGTATGTTACATATGAGGAACAAAGTGCTAAGCCATAGGTCGGGAGCCACCTCTTGAACCCGTAGGAGCCACCTCTAGAATCCCAATACCTGGCAACGAATCCTAAGATGGATCAAGCGCGACAAGGACGTCCCGAGTCTAACGGGGGGTGATTGTAATATCCAGACCAAGAAAATTTAAAAGATTTGATAGGTACTACTCATACCAATAAGGTGCACCTTCTTTTCCGGAAATCCATCGTTAGAAACTCTACAGTTAAGTGTTCTTGGTTGGAGCAATTCTATGATAGGTGACCCCCTAAGAAGTTTTCTTGTGGAGAGTGCGAGTGAGGATAAAACATGCTGAAAAGACCCATATTGGTACAATAAGGACAGTACGTCGTCTATCTAACGATCGAGATAGCCCATTAAGTGGGACTCGGGTCGTTACAGTAGGAGATCCATTTCATGCTATATCGGCCTGCTCACTGGAGGTGATGTTTCCTGGAAGAATGCCAAGCAAACACTCATTGCTACTTCCACCATGGCAGCGGAGTTTATAGTATGTTATGAGACATCAAACCATGGAATATGGCTGCGAAAGTTTGTCACTGAGCTGCGCATTATGGACAGTATCGAAAAGCCACTCAAGTTATTTTGTGACAATAAATCAACAGTACTATATTTCAATAACAACAGGTGCTCGACGAAGTCAAAACATATAGAGATCAAGTTCCTGCATGTTAAAGAAAGAGTTCAAAGTAGACAGGTGTCAATATAGCACATCAGGACAAACTCCATGGTTGCGAATCTGCTTATTAATGGATTAATACTCAAGCTCTTTCGTGAGCACACTGCTCATATGGGTATAATATCTCTTGAAGATATCTAGTTTTAGTGAGAGTTTGTATTTCTGTGTTTTACATATTAGACATATGTACTGTCATTTCGGATATGTTTTATGATTAAGGTTATTTTCGGTTATAAAGTTTTTTTGGTTTATTATCTCTGAACTTGTTTAAAAATGATCTCACTAAGGTATTAAGGTGGACCAATTGGAAATAAGCATGTTAAGATCACATAACATGTAATTTTCATACTACATATCCATACTTAATCCATGTCATTCAGTTATATCGATATATGTGGCCATTGATGGGTTTAGTTAGATAAAAATAGTGAAAGCCGCTTTGATCCTATATTTATATGATTGATGGACCGGATTGTTTGGGAATACATTCGGTAATGATAGCAAAATTCTGAATACTCACAAGGTTGTGTTTAATGCACAATTATAAGGTAACACATATAGCACAAGTGGGAGATTGTAAGGATTTTAATCGTACATGTAGGCTTATATGTGAAATATTGTGTATTAAATTCAAAGCTTTCAATTTTGGTTAAATCTGTTTAAAGTGATCTATTAAGGTTTCGGTATTTTGAGATTTAAAGCATCTAATTAAAGTGTGAAACTTTATGTGTAGAGATCAGGTTTGTTCCTAATTTCACGATGGGCCGAATTAGGTTAATGAGCTGTTAATATATATATACTAGGTGCAAGTAATGTGCAATGCACGTTTGCGTAGTTTATATTTAATAGTTTTGTTTAAAAATTAATTTGTTATTATTGAAGATGTAATTTTTTTGGTTAATTAAATAATTAATGATGTAATGTTTATGTAATTGATAAATAATTAGATGTGTGATTTTGATATTGTGATGTAAGTTGGTGAGATCGAAGAAAATAAGCAAAAGTTGACAAATTTGGAGAAATGGCTAAATTGTAAGGGATCCAAAGTTCGGGGACTAAAATGTAAATACTTAAAAGTTGTGCCGAACCTCACGATGAAGATTTGAGAGTG